GAAATAAATATTTAATGTACACTAATGTCCATCGTTGTCTTAACAAAAGAGAATGATGTGTTTTTAATGTTTTGTTCGTTCTGTTCTATTGTATCAACAAAAAAGTAAACTTTCAGAATCAGTGTTTTTTTTCTAAAATTTTGGAAATCTCTGTAATTGGTTTTAAATTAAGTTCGAAGAAATAAATTCTCTCTTCGCCAACTAATTCATTATGAAATTTTATTTACCAAGTCGAAGTTTTAACATTTACATCGAACCATTCATTACTCAGAGCATTACTTTGCTGTCTCTGAAGTAAACTGAACAGTAAGTGTGCACACCTCAACTAATGAGAATTACCGCCAACATTGGAGCCCACATGGCAGGCATTATCACAGTAGCGACTTTCCCTCGGTCTGTTGGGCGCCGCGGTAGCGCCGGCACATGCAACATAACATTTCGCTGCTGTGATGATGTCGGGTGCAGTTAACAGATCGAAAGTCTTTAATTTTATTCAGGAAACCCCAACAGCTTAGAATCGCGAACACAACGAGAACTATTGAACTACAGAGAGGAGAGGGACTTCGCTCTGTACTGTATAGATAAATCAATAGCACAATAAATAAACGTAGAAATTAACACTACAGGAAGATAATAAACTAATCCAAAATACAATAATCCATATATAGGCACTAATTGCAGAACACTATTCCAAATTCACTCTAACCTTAGAATAGCGTACTGCAGCCTATAATAGCTCAGTCAGCCTCGCAGGGACACCAGAGACAATGAGCTCTAACTTGACTGGCTAGGCCTTACAACAGGTACTCTGCGCAGTAGTGCGGATAACATTCTTACATCTGCTAAACTGCAGTCACTCCTGGACTCGCCGGCAAACGGCGCCACTGCGACATGTGGCTGCCGGGAGTGAAGGATTATTGCACGTGAGGCGACATGTAGCATGTGACACGCCGGTGTGCAGTGAACACACCGAGAAAGTGCGTGTAGAACAGTCTCCCAGAAGCAGAGTGGCTGGCTTGACGAAGCTTAAAGAAATTCAAGACAGTTCGCTTCATTCGTTTCGACAACAGAAAAACAACGTTTATTTCAACTTGATAATTCAACATTGTTGGTATTACGTTTGATCCTCCTGTTACGAGCTTCAGTCATACTGAAGATGTTGTAAACAAGCTAGCGTTGAGTCACGAGACTTCCGTGGCACCGGCCAGCATACATGCCGATTGGCTGCAGCAAAATATCATGCGAAAATAGTATATTTTTGTTCTGAAATTCTGAAATTTGTTGTGATTTTCAACAAAGAAACGTCACGTGTTCCTAAAATTCAAACTCTCAATCCTACATTATCCGGACAGGATTTAGTCTTACAAATAATTGGTTTTGAATTGGTAGAAGATCACGATTCTTATTCAATTTTGAGTGCTCGGTGTGTCTAACGTCCAGCGACAATTTCTGGAGACAAGTCAAGAAATTTTCTATGGACATTAATTTCAAAGCATTGAGCTTAATTTTTGTTCAATTACATAACTTGTAATTATTTAAATTAATTATTTAATTAACAGCTCTTTTCTTTCCATTATTTTTAAGGAAGCGATTGCAAATATTATCTCATTCTCGTATGCGCTCTACTCGTAATTCTACCATTTTACGATGACATTAATACCCTGAAGATTTTTAGAGAAAAAATGCGTAAGCCTTTAATAATATTTGTTATTAACTATCGTATATCTGAAAGCGACCACAGGCAGCGATCGCATCAATTTTATTCAAATGCACAGTAAGATGGAAGTCAAAATATTAATTGACTGAAATTCTTCTGCTGAAAACATATTATGTATTTTTCTCCACCTGAACAGTTCATTCAATTGAAAATTCCGTGAGCAAAATTTCTGCTTCATTCACCCATTAAAATATCGATGGGCAATATTTCTGCTTCAGTCACCTGATACAAAATTGATGGGCAACATTTCTGCTCCAGTCACCCATTACAATCTCCATGGGGAACATTTTTGCTTCAGTCACCCATTAAATTCTCAATGGAGTAACATTTATACTTCAGTCACCCATTAAAATCTCAATGGGTAACATTTCTGCTTCAATTGCCCGCCCATTAATAATTCAATGAGCAGCATTTATTATTGCAAAGCACTTGGCGATTAAAATAATTAACACAAGGTATTCCACTGCCACTCCGAACATTATGAATTTCTGGACAAAACAAGCACCATATTTGAACGCATGTTAATATTTGTAGAGAAACTATTCATGGCTAGTAAAGTCATGAACACGATAAACTGTTAAAAATACATTCTCTTAAAAACAGACAAATCAACTGCAAAATTCACTGAATATAAATAAAACTATAAAATTTTCCATGCGTTTTCAAGTAAAATATTTCCGATTTTTGTGTATTGTGGCCTAAACATGGCGCGATTACGTTCTCCTGTAGAGTTGCCATAATCAGTTTGAAATTAACCAGCATGAAGCCTGCACTGCAGCGCTCGGTGGTGCTGATCGATCGCTATTGCTTGGCTTCCCGAAAATAAAATTGTTATTTCTTCGTTGACGAATGTGAAACATCTTGTGCACATCTTATTCGCGCATTTTTTCATTTATGGAAAAAATGCCCTATTGCGCTCGTCATGTCCGTCCGTCCGTCTGTTAGTCTGTCTGTCCGTGACTTACCGTTTTCGTCGACGAGAAAATGCGCTCTCTGTCACTCACTGCAGTGAGCACTGAGTTATATTTTTTACCGTATTCCAGTTTCCATTTTTCGTGACTAAATATAGCCCAAAACTTCAATTGACCATCGGTATCAATATTCGTCTTATATATTAAAGGAAATAAAACCACCTTGCAGTTTGTGATAATTTATTTCCAAACCAACTCTTGTGAAGCTCGCAAGCCGCATGTAGGTTATAATAGATTTTTAAATTTATAATAGCAATTGATGGCGTAATTTTTGATAAGTGAAATTCGTAAGCAAGTTCTGACTGATGGTCAGACAGCTGAATAATTCAGACTGATGATTGGAAAGCTGAATAATTCTGACTGATGGTTGGAAAGCTGAATAATTCTGACTGATGGTTGGAAAGCTGAATAATTCTGACTGATGGTCGTAAAGCTGAATAATTCTGACTGGTGGTTGGAAAGCTGAATAATTCTGACTGATGGTTGGAAAGCTGAATAATTCTGACTGATGATCGGAAAGCTGAATAATTCTGACTGATGGTCGTAAAGCTGAATAATTCTGACTGATGGTCGTAAAGCTGAATAATTCTGACTGATGTTACGATATCTTACCCCACAAAAGGTGCAGTACATATCTTACCCTACACAAGGTGCAGTACATATCTTACCCCACACAAGGTGCAGTACATATCTTACCCACACAAGGTGTAGTACATATCTTACCCCACACAAGGTGCAGTCATATCTTACCCCACACAAGGTGCAGTACATATCTTACCCCACAAAAGGTGCAGTACATATCTTACCCACACAAGGTGTAGTACATATCTTACCCCACACAAGGTGCAGTACATATCTTACCCCACAAAAGGTGCAGTACATATCTTACCCCACACAAGGTGCAGTACATATCTTACCCCACACTAGGTGCAGTACATATTCAACACTTCGAAAAGGGAACTGTAAATCACAAAGGGGACTAAACTCTAAATGTTTGCGTCATGACTGAAGCAATAAATTTTGTTATTAGGCCATAAATTAAGTTAAAAGGAAGTAAATATTACATTTATAGGTAATAGTAAAGAATTTATCATGGCATAATAGAGAAGAATAGACTTGCTGCAGTGTACAGAATCAAGGCACTATAGGGCTAAATGGGCTAACTATCGAGGCAGTCACTTTGCCTACCTATCCCTGTACCATGTACAGCCTAGTACGGAAAAAGATAGTACATCGCTGGTTACAATTGAGAACAAACTGCGGGAAACGTGCAACTGATTCACTGCTAATAAAAAATAACCGAATTTATAAACTGGTTCACTATTTAATTAATGCAAATTGCGGTATGCGTGTAAATCGTACATGAAACAAACAACAGTGGCGTACTTGGTGCCCAGTAGTTGAAGCCTTTAGCTGTGGACAACAAGAACCTATCAGCCAGGCGTACTAGGTGCCTCATGCAGTAGTTGAAACCTTTAGCTGTGGACAACAAGAACATATCAGCCAGGCGTACTTGATGCCCTAGTAGTTGTATTGTTGTCGATGACAATCATTTTACCGTAATAACATTAAAAACAGTGATTTAATATTCATGAGTATTAGTCATAAATATGTTCCCAATTGTTGCACGGATCGAGTTTGGTATAAGATCAAGAAATTGGTAATTCTCATATTTTTGAGTAGGGGCATTTCCTCTCATGCTCCATTCTCCGGTATAAGAGACGAGTAAAAGACGCTAGCTGCATCAGGTTACACAACTCACTCGTCTTAACTGAGCTACAAGTCGCTTGGTGCAGCCACACGTTCGGCCCGAGTTATAACTTAACGGGCCAGAGATAGCGCCTGCTTGCATCCTATAAGGCCTTCATGGACTAGTGACTGTGCTTGCTAGCATTCCAAGACTTCGTTGATCTAGTAGCAGTGCCTGTTAGAATCAAATCTCTAATGGACTAGTGATGCCACCTGATGGCATCCAGAGGCCTTAAATGGACCGGAGACAGCGCCTGATAGCATCCAAAGGTCTTAACAGACCAGAAAGTTTGCCTGCTAGCATCCCAAGGCCTTAAAGGACTAGTGACAGCGCCTGCTAGCATCCCAATGCCTTCAAGGACTACTATAACAGCGCCCGATGGCATCCGAAGGTCTTACAATGGTCTAGAGACAACGCTTGCTAGCATCCATCCGTCTTAATGGACCAGAGACAACGCCTGCTATCATCTCAAGGCCCGAATGCACAAGAAGGATTGCCTGCTGGCATCCAAAGGCCTTAAGGAACCAGTGAAAGCGTTCTAGCATCCCAATGTCTTACAGAACTAGTAACAGCGCCTAGTACCTGCAGTAAGGTTGACCGCCAGGGAACGGTCGGCCGCCGTTTTGATGACCATGGGTTGGCCGCCCTCAGCGGTGCACACATTCGCCTGGTTGCTCAGAGACCCGTTTTTGGTGGTGGCCGTTGAGACGAACACCGCGGGCGTGGGTGCAGTGGTTGTGGTGAGCGTGGTGGTTGTGGTGGGCGTTGTGGTTGTGGTGGGCGTTGTGGTTGTAGTCGGTATTGTGGTCGTTGTGGGTGTGGTGGTTGCTGTTGGTGCAGTGTTTGTTGCGGGAGAGGTCGTTGTGGTTGGATACTCGAAAACTGTTTTTTGGAAAGCAATGTGCTTTATTATTCAGTTAGATTATGGTAGTTAAGATAAGGTTAGGTTGATGTAGTTCAGCGCTTGTTTATCTAGCTGACGGTGCCAGTAACGACCGAGACTTTGGTCTCGTTTGAACTTTGAGGTGTCGAGGATTTACAAGGAATGTCTGTCTCAGATTAACAGCAAATTGAAAGAATGGCGATAAGCAAAAATAACATGAGATAAACATTAAGATGGCAGAAATGTGCAACTGATTTCAATGCAAATGATTTACATTAATACTCTACTATCCAGTGACCGCAATTGAAACAAATGATGATAGTTTTCAGCACTTAACCCATTCGTGGAACCGTCATAATTATATTAATCAGTTTCAAATAATAGCAGTCGGTATTCATTCATTCCAATTAATGCTGCTCCAGTCATGCTAATCAAAGTCCCATCACGCCAGTCAGTGTCCAAACACGGCAATCCTATTCCAGTCTTACTAATCGGTGTCATTACAATCAGTGTCCAGTCATTCCAATCAGTGTCCAGTCATGCCAATCAATGTCCAGCCATGCCAATCAGTGTCCAGCCATGCCAATCAGTGTCCAGCCATGCCAATCAATGTCCAGCCATGCCAATCAGTGTCCAGCCATGCCAATCAGTGTCCAGCCATGCCAATCAATGTCCAGCCATGCCAATCAATGTCCAGCCATGCCAATCAGTGTCCAGCCATGCCAATCAGTGTCCAGCCATGCCAATCAGTGTCCAGCCATGTTAATCAGTGTCCAGTTATACCAATCAGTATGCCAATAGCTCATGTCAATCACTTACCTTCCTTGAAGTAAGTCACCAGGTCCATTGCACCTATGTCCGCCTCTACCGTCCACTCCAGTCCCTCGTCTACGTACAGAGCGCAAGTCTGATGAACACGTGTGTACGTGGCTGCTGGGCACGAGGGCTGTACGGCGCACGCCATCTTGCACTGACCTGTACCGTGCAAACACGAAAGTAAGTGCACGTAAGTAACCATAAATACGTACAGATACGGGGTCGCCTGCCAAAGACCACAACTGCCCTGGATGTAATGGACCATCATGATTCCTGCCTTCCGGAACGTAGCCTTCAACACTTCAAGCCGTCCGTATCTAGGCCGTGGGTCTAATGATAGTTAAACATGCACCTACCGAACACGTTCGTGCCACAACACAGTCACTCCGGCGTCTAACCTTTTCACTTTAAGTTAATTATGAAAGAACCTCAATCCTAATCAATTTTTTTAATAGTTCAACCATGCATTCAGCCTTCTCCCATCATGGTTTCTCACCGTATAACAACCACAACATTTCAAATTGCTTAAATGTACTCCCCCACCCATCACTTCCCTCACTGTATCCCTCTTATTATACCCTCACTCAGTGATGTCACTAGCCTCCCCCCACTCCTCACTTCCCTCACTGTATCCCTCTAATTATACCCTTACAGGCCTTACTCAGTAATAACATAACATAATACAGTGATGTCGGCGCTGCGGTGTAGGCCTGATGTGGCCTGTCGCCGATTCTTTTCCTTTTCGTGCCTTGTTCATAGAAGATCTAAGATCGTGTCATTTGACCGTATTTTTTCATGACTGACGATAGTTTGAAGTAGCTACTAGACTTCCACCGGGTTCGATATGGTGCTAGGCATTTCAAATCTGAACCAATATTTTTCCATAGCTTTATCTAGTCTGTTCTTGAACGCGTTCATACTTGGCTGTCTCTTATACACATCTAGATGTGTATAAGAGACAGCACTGTATCCCTCTATTATACTCACACTCAGTGATGTCCCTAGCCTCCCCCCACCCCTCACTACCCTCACTGGATCCCCTCTATTTTACTCACACTCACTGACGTCCCTCATAACCTCGCTGATGGTTAGGCTGGTGGAGTAGCCCTCGAGGGAAGACTGGTAGACGCTGCCTGCCCTCACTTGCACCATCATCATCACCATCACCATCATCACCATCGCTGCTCGGCCACACATCCTCTCTTTTGTGTTGTAAGTTCGGTCAGTTTGTCTTGATTTTGACTCAGGTTGTCCTAATTTTGATTCATTTTAATTACGCCTTATTAATTAAGCGTCGTGGAGTTGAGTTCGGTTTGTTTTGTTCAGCGTAGATGAGTACTGTTGAGTTGAACTTGGACATATATGGGAAGTTAAGTTGAGGTATGAAATTTTGATCTTTTTCGGCAGGTTGAATCCAACTATTAGGTTAGGCCAAACTTGGACAAGATGAATTAAATGGCGTTAGATTGAATTTTTTTTCCTTTGGATACAAGTGTCAGACCGAGCTGCAGGTTTGACTGAGTGAGCTCTCCTGAACTTTAGTTGTGGTTAGCTGGTCTGAACGAGAAAATATTTATCGTTAAATAGACATTTAATGCAGCCTTAACTGCACGTTAGACCCTTAGGATTAAGCAATCCAACAGGATAATGTCAACATTAATTGCACAGGATTTATCAGCATTATAGAAAATGAGTCTCGTAACATGGACAAATTAATGTCGTGCGCTGCATTCAAGTTGACAACTATAGACAGCTCAAGGAGCTGTCAAGTTTATGTAACTTAGTTTACGAATTCAATCACATTTGCCCGAATTGCTTAGTTTACATTGTTCTTATACGCAATGAATTGTATCACATTCAACATCAATATAATAATTTATTCAGATTCTTAAAAGTGCAGGCGATTTAACTAAGTAAATTAGGGAAGCGCCTAAGCTTCTGAGTAGCAGTCGCTACATTCAGTTTAAAGTTGTTCTCGTTCTGTTTGACTAAAAATCAAAATCTGGTTCTAGTTCGAATCCCCTCTCCTTCTTCATGATGTCCTGAGACAATGACAAGTGTGTCCTGATAATGTGACAAGTGTGTCCTGAGACAATGACAAGTGTGTCCTGATAATGTGACAAGTGTGTCCTGAGACAATGACAAGTGTGTCCTGATAATGTGACAAGTGTGTCCTGAGACAATGACAAGTGTGTCCTGATAATGTGACAAGTGTGTCCTGAGACAATGACAAGTGTGTCCTGATAATGTGACAAGTGTGTCCTGAGACAATGACAAGTGTGTCCTGATAATGTGACAAGTGTGTCCTGAGACAATGACAAGTGTGTCCTGATAATGTGACAAGTGTGTCCTGAGACAATGACAAGTGTGTCCTGATAATGTGACAAGTGTGTCCTGAGACAATGACAAGTGTGTCCTGATAATGTGACAAGTGTGTCCTGAGACAATGACAAGTGTGTCCTGATAATGTGACAAGTGTGTCCTGAGACAATGACAAGTGTGTCCTGATAATGTGACAAGTGTGTCCTGAGACAATGACAAGTGTGTCCTGATAATGTGACAAGTGTGTCCTGAGACAATGACAAGTGTGTCCTGATAATGTGACAAGTGTGTCCTGAGACAATGACAAGTGTGTCCTGATAATGTGACAAGTGTGTCCTGAGACAATGACAAGTGTGTCCTGATAATGTGACAAGTGTGTCCTGAGACAATGACAAGTGTGTCCTGATAATGTGACAAGTGTGTCCTGAGACAATGACAAGTGTGTCCTGATAATGTGACAAGTGTGTCCTGAGACAATGACAAGTGTNTCTAGGTGTCACTAGAGAGTGTGTGCAAGAATCTAGGCGTCACTATAGGCAGTGTTCAACATTCTAGGTGTCACTAGAGAGTGTGTGCAAGAATCTAGGCGTCACTATAGGCAGTGTTCAACATTCTAGGTGTCACTAGAGAGTGTGTGCAAGAATCTAGGCGTCACTAGAGGCAGTGTTCCCCTATTGTCAAGAGCTCGACTTACGTCGGTTGCTGACAGCAGTTTCTGTTAGTTCGCCGCGAGTTTTTTGGCCATTTTGCCGTAATCCGAATAAACACTTTAAGCGTCACTAGAGGGAGGTGTGGAACACTCTAGGCGTCACTAGAGGGAGGTGTGGAACACTCTAGGCGTCACTAGAGGGAGGTGCGGAACACTCTAGGCGTCACTAGAGGGAGGTGTGAAACACTCTAGGCGTCACTAGAGGGAGTGTGCAACACTCTAAGCATAATTACAAGGAGTTTGCATGGACTCTCAATAGGTTATTATCACCATCGTAAAGTGGGACTCTCAATACGTTATTATCTCCATCATAAAGTGTGCTGTTCAAAAAGTTATCATCACCATCGTTTAGTGTGGTTCTCAATAAGTTATTTAAAGTGTGGACCATCGTAAAGCGATAGGTTATTATCACGATCGTTAATGAATTTTATCAATTTTCCTCAAAAATTGAAAGCACACTCAAATTTGTAAATGAATTTGGGATACAAAATCACAGTAAAAACTTTACATTTTAATTTCATCCAAGTTCAGTTCTTAATTTAGAAGAAAATAATGACACAATAATACATATCGGGAGCGAAAATTCTATCACATCACACTTCCTCACTTTACTCCGTCTATCATACCATTGTTCCATCACACTGTCTCGCATATCATTTCATCACATCGTCTCGCATAACATTTTTACATCACACCGTCTTGCATAACATTACATCACACCGTCTCACACAACATTGTTACATCACACCGTCTTGCATAACATTACATCACACGGTCTTACATAACATTTTTACATCACATCGTCTCGCATCACTGGCTTGATCCCTCGCAAGTATTGGACTCAGAAGAGGCAGCACGGGTCTCAGGCTTGGACCGACATTGCTGCTGCATTTGCTGCAGCGTGTGTTGCAGACGCTGCAACTGTTGCACGGCCTCTTCCGCTTCTTCTTATCGCTCCGACAAGGTGCACTGCAGTCGCTAAGCTTGTTCGGTTTTGGCAGCAATAGTTCGTGTAAGGTTTTTATTTTCCGATCGAAGTCTTTCCACCTCACAAGACAAAAACTCGAGGATGTCCTGCTTTCCTTCAAGGCTGGTCGCCAACACCTCGACTTGTTCCCGATGCTCTTCGGTTTGACGTCGCACGTCACACAAAAGTTTCTCACCAGCTTCCCTGGATTGTCGGATCTCTCGCACCATTTATTTCTTCTTCTCAATATCCGTTGAAAGCTTCTTAATTTACTCGCTGACCGATTATTCTTCCTCCTCAATTGCCTTCAACTCCGCCTGAAGTTTAGCCAACGTTTGCAGTTCATTGTCGTGCGTTTTCTGGTATTTTTCTAGCCGCTTCTATACTTGTTCAACGTCAGCCTCGAGCGCGGCTATGCTCTGTTTCAACGCCGGGAACTGGCAGCGAATTTCATCAATTTCGCACTTCAGCTTGTCGTAGTTTTACATAAACATTTTGCCGAGCTTGTGGAGCTATTTCTTAAGTTCCTCAGTCTCTTTCACGGCATTGGTCAAGTCACACTGGGCATCTTTGACAGCTTTCTTTGCGTTCACGACGCCATTTTCGAGCTCCGTATTCTTCGCTTCAAGAGCTCGACTTACATCGGTTGCTGATAGCAATTTCTGTTAGTTCGCCGCGAGTTTTTTGGCCATTTTGCCGTAATCCGAATAAATTCGCTATTGATGCTCGAGTTTCAAATGCCGTTGCTCCTCTATTTCATTTACTTGTTCCTGGATTTCACAGATCGCTTGGCGCAGCTCAACATTAAACAATTTAGCTTTGTTTTTCCCGGTGTCTGCGCCACAGCACGGTAGTCCTCTTGAACTTGAAGTGCTTTCTTCATCGACGACATCTTAGCTCGAGGTATCGATGGTTCGCATCGACTCTTCACTCAGAGTTTCGCACGCTGTATTCAGGCTCTCAGTACGGTCGGCAGTTTTGGTTTGACTACAATTCCTAGTCGATCCTTTTGATGAATCCTTGCTGCTGCAACTCGAGATTTCACTTTTAGATATTTGACATTCCGCAGTGCTGTATTTTGAGTTTCTGGTCGTGCTTTTGGACGAGCATTCGCTTTACGAAGCAGAACTATCAGTCTTGCTTTTCTGCCGTTCATTAACGCCATGTTTGGGGCAAACTTGATCGTTGCAGTTTGATTTAGAAGACATTTTTTCGAGGTTGTGAAGTTCGCACTTTGACCGAAAATTTCGCATTGAATTGGTGCGACGGAGAGACGACTTATGGGCAGTCGAACTGCATCCTGGATACCAGCCACTCTTAAATTAAGCCAAAACTTGATTAATTTGAAGCTATTTTTTTTATTTTCGTAAATTGGATGCAATGCAAGAAACCGTAAAATTTTAATGGAAAACCAAATTTCGCTACAAGATTCACGTGCTAGTTATTAGAGCTACTGATATTTTATTATAGTAATTTTCTTACATGTCATCTCAATGAGTTAAACGAAATTTCTTGCTGGCGTAGGCAGATCGAAAAGATGGTTACTGAATGATATTATAATCGAATACGACTTCTCAAACGTGCAACATTCATTATCAAGAAGATGGAAAGTTTTGCAACACTTGGATTTGAGATTTAGAAATGACAATAATCATTCATTATTATTATTGTTAAGGCTTTTAAATTTCCTGTGAAAAATATTTCCATATTACAAGACTTGGCGCCAGGCCAAACGAGGCCTATTTTTCAGAGCCGACACTACCAAACACTACTATGTATACTACGAAACAAATCATAATTTTTTCGGATGCTTATGACTCTTATATATATTTTTTAAGTTTTTGGTCACCATGGTAGGCCAGCGATATTGCAATATTTTTGAAAGAAAATTTCTATGTTTTCAGATCAAGATAAAGAATCGCGTATTGTCTGACAGAATTGCAACACTTTCGACTGGTATCTTACTCTACCCTCTCCTACATTCCTACTCTACCCTCACCTACATAATTACTCTACCCTAACCTACATTCCTACTCTACCCTCACCTACATTCCTACTCTACCCTCACCTGCATTCCTACTCTACCCTCTCCTACATTCCTACTCTACCCTCACCTACATAATTACTCTACCCTAACCTACATTCCTACTCTACTGTAAGATGACAATGTTGATACCATTTGTCCCTTGATATTTCCTGATTGATGTCTTCCTTGTTGAAAGATAAGATCCTTCACATGCGATATGTTCATGAGCATTTCCTTGTGTATTAGCTTTTCCTGTTTATCAAGTCACGCCCTTGGTGACGTCAATTAGCGTAGCTATATGAGCTAAGCCCAAACCAGGAAACTCAGTCTTGGGCGAGGACCGCTACGGTATACCCCATTGCTCCTGTCCATGTCAAACAGGACAGTAACTCTAAATTAACGTCAGAGTAGAAGATACACTCTTGACTTATCCCTACTTCAACTGGAAGCCGAAGACATCAGTGTTAAAGCTCCAACTTATAAACTTATTAACTGATTATCCTAAACTGTAAGCCGAACTA